GAAACACAAGATAATCTACAAGATAGAGCTCATCTTTCAAAACTACAAATCCACTATTGACAGTGGTATAACAAGAATGGGTGGTGGAGGCAGAGTGCCCCAAGAGCAGCAATAAAGTGCTGGTCTGTATCAAATTCAAAAATAATAATAAAACTGAAGTAAGGTCAGTCTGCTTTTTATTTTCACCATATACTGGCAATCTTAATGTCAGTTAAAATATTTCTCCCTTCCTTGACTGACTGTTCCCACCACACCTTCTCACCCCTCCCCCTTCCACCTGTCCTTGGGAGGCCACTCGCTATTAATACTAGGAAATTTAATCATTTAACGTAACTCTAAAGAGTGGGCTATATTTTACCAGGTGAAACATTTCAGCATTTCATGTAACACTGTAAACTGTAAGCTTAAAAAATTCAGTGAAACTGTACAATATTATTTTCAAATTTCTAGAAAGTAATCCTTAAGTAAAAAATAACACCATTTCCTTTTAATTAAGTTGGAAAGTCATGTTTTATACAACAAGCAAGTTCATTTAGCATAGACTATTAAAGGTGACCTTGCAGCCCCATCAGCACAGCCTACATATTCAAATACACAGTTTATATATGGTAATTATTGCTGTACTGAAAAAAAAGGAAAATATAAAATATGTTATTGGTTTCATCATTGACTCTAAAATGAAATGAGGACTAGATTAACCAAGTGGCAAGTAGTACAAGGACCTTGTTGAGGTTTAATTATACCTCTGCGAGGTCTGAAAAGAGTGCTTGGCTCGTGTTACGTCTCAGTGTATCCCAATAGCTTCTGGAGACAAGTTCCTCAGCATCTGTTTTAAGTACCTGCAGAAGTTTTAAGAAGCACAACTGAAATCTAAAGAATAGTCACTAAGAATGATAATTTAGACACTTTAAATCTCTTCTAAATAAGCTTGAAAAGAAATGAAAACACATTAGCTTACCTTTTTTGTGTTCTGCTGTGCACAATAGTATTATATTACATTGCTGGTAAACCCAACGTACTTTCAAAGGTGTTATGGTATATAACCACTATTTCTAAGTACAATGTATCTTTGTTAAAAAGAATCGAATTCTCCAGTCCCTTCCTCTGCCCTTCTACTAAAACACACATAACTTCTAAGAAAGCATGAAATAAAATTTTATTCCCACCTGTGTAGATTAATTTGGAGTAGATTTTGGTAATTTTGTAGCAACCTATTAAAACTCATGCTTAATTTAAAAATGAATTATTGCTGGCTATCATACATCTTGATAGTGTATCAAAGAATCAAAATGACCTTATCCATACTTTAGAGAAACAAAGTTTAAATTAATCCAAAACTTGTCAAAAAGAAATATAACTGCTTAAGTCAAAGCACCCAAAACTACTAGGGATTTGGTAGGTGTGTCAATTGTGAATGAATAGGGTATTTTCTGATCTTTATTACAAAGATAGAATACTAGCTTTTATCTCAGTATTGGCTAGTCTAAAGGAGATAGCAAGATTAAGAGGTGTAGTCTAATCTTCCTAGGAAAATGTCAAACTGCATACCTAATTTGGTT